TAAATGCGTACATATATAACTAATTTACGTATTATAGTTAATTATATTGTAAAAGTTTTTGCTTACGAACGCATTTTTAATTCTAAGCGTTAATAAATTTTAAGATATTTTTTTTATTTTCATCAAAATTGCATTTTAATTTGATTTAAACTATTACAGTTCAAAAACGACTTACTGGAAATTTGCTGTTATCTCAAATGAATCTAATAACTTGTAAGATCAAAAAGTTAGAGTTCGTCAAAGAATCAATACTATATACGAGTATGCTCTAAGAAAACTCAAAAAATATTTTAATCTCAGAATTTTACTTTATTATAATAACAATAGTAAATTCTATAAAGGGCTTGCAAAGGATTAATTGTCTATTTTAACCAATTATATTAGTTCATAAATCGAAAACAAACAATTCCTGCTTCTTTTTCGGTAAAAATATTAAAAATCATTTTCTATTCATGAACCCTTAGCAAATTAATGAGGAAAGATGTAGCTAAAAATTTTATAAAGTGGTGCGATGAAAAAAGTATGCTGTTTATGTACGCATGTAAATTAAATATCCTATTAAAAAATCCCAACTTTGAAATCATTATTTTTAATATTTCCATCAGGTTTTTATTGAGTATTTTTAATTTTTGTCTTTTAAATTTCAAAACGTTTAGCTAAGTCCACCTATATTGTGGAATTCTGATAGATGTTATCATAAAACATTGATGTTATGCATTAGCTTATGATTCATATATAAGGCTTCATTATAATTTCGAACGCCTGCCATAGAATTTTCGGGCAAGAGATGAAAAAAGTATTAAATTTTACAAAACAATATTAAAGGTATAAGAATCTCATCTAAGAACGTCTTATAAGTTTAAATTACCTAGAACAAAAAAAAAAGAAAAAACTGACAAAATCTTAAAATTGGAAAATATAAATTTTTTTTTGTTGACCTTGAAATGTTCTTAAGATTCGGCAAGTCCATTGACTTATTCTAAAGTCACAAATATATTTTCCAAAATTATGATTGTTTTTTTTTATGATTTTTTCTTATCAGTAAAGTTTCAGTCTAGTTTTGGTAACAATTAAATTTTAATGTTCTGAGTAATAATGGCGAAACCATTCAGATTTTATGCTTTATTTATTTAGACAATTATTTTTTTTCTAGAATGTATTTCTAAATATGTGTTTAATTATCGTTTTACTTTAATTAGAATGAACAAGTTTAGAAGTTTTTCATAAAAACAATTGGAAATTTTAGTTACTATTTGTTCATTGGATTTATTAAATATAATTTTTTAGAAACCTTTCGTTAAGTAACTACTAATTTCAGATTTTGTTATCCAAAATTTGAAGTTATTCACTATTTGCTAAAATTGTTTTGTACTTTCCAACTTTTCTATACGTGTTTAAGGATTTTATTTTATTGTTTAAATAAACTTGTATTTGAGAATAGTATTGAGACAAAATTTTGTAAAGCATTTAGAAACAAAATTTTAAAATATAAAATAAAATTTTACCCCAAATCTATGTAGGCAGCTGTGGTGTAAGACGGTAAAAAATTCCCCATACGTTACATATTCATATACATATGTAGTACATTTTTAATATGTTGTTTTAATGAATTTATTGGAAAAATGTAATAAAAATTTTGAGCATAAAAATTTATTGTAAATAGAAAATTTTGATTTTTGGAACACGTTGTAAGATAATTTAAAATATTTAGTTGTTGGGCCGTATTCATATTTCAAAAAGTAATATTTTAGCAACAATCCAACATTTTCAAAACTCTTAAAATAATAATGTTTATATAGAAATGGCAAAACAGCAATAGAATGGCAAATTTACTTTTTAGAATTCAAAAAAAGAATTCCGAAAATTGGTAATATTCCCAAAATTCTATTTTTGAAAGTGAAAATAGAATTTAGAACGAATACTAAACGAAAATTAATATTAATTTTAAACTGTGGCAGTAAAATTGGAATAATATAAATTAAAAGTAAGTGCTGACGATTTTTTAATTGTATCGCGGATATGTTAGCCATAATGTTTTGTTTTTAAATATGCAGGAACAAAAAGCGGATTCCTTTTACATTAACTTTAATTTACAAGTTCTGTAAGGCAGCACAGTTATACTATTTTATATTTACAAATTTTTACATGACAAGATTGAAACGAAAATGGTGCAGTTTTATATAGCCCAATATGTAAATGAAGTGAAAAATTTATAAGAAATGATGTTATACATGAATTTCTTAATAGTATTTTGACTATAATATTTGTACATGTAAATATACAAATATGTAAATTTAAAATATTTTTTGTACTACACATTAACAAACACATAGTCAAATATTTTTGGTTATTTAAAGTACCAGTTGCTTTGAATTGAAATATAAAAAATCTTTAAATATTTAGGTTTGATGCTTTCAGTAATTTTGAATTTTTCGTAATTTCTTTAATTGAACATTATGAGGAAAAAATGCCGAAATTTTTTCTGCCGAATTTTCAAAAACAAAAAAACAGTAGCTTTGATAAAGTGCGCAAGAATTAATGGAAATTTTCCTTAATTTTGAAGTACGTAAAAAATTGGAGATTCGGAAAAATTATTCATTTTATGAACTAAGTACTTTTGAATTATGAAGTGAGCTTTTTTCATAACCCGTTTATTTAATTTTCACTTTTCTTCTTACTGTTATAATACGAGTAGCATATTGAACAAAAATCAATATTCTCAGGCTACCGTTAAATACCAGCCCTTATACAAATTTATTACAAGGTAAATATTTTGAATCTTATTATTAAGGGTTTTTAAGTTTATTTTAAGAAATATTTCTAACCAAGGGAAAGCAATTCTTTTAAATTCTTTTATGAATTTACAATATGCTACTTTCTCGAGGAAAGTGCTGTTATTGTTGCAATACATTTCTAACCAGTAACAAATAGCGCTTGTTTCTAATTTAAAAATTACTAAAATAACAAAAATGAAAAATTCTAGAAAGTCAAGGTTATAATAAAAAAAAAATTTTTGATCAAATTCCAATTTTAAGTGTTATACAAGTAAATTAGCAAATATAGATGAATAAAAAACAATAACATAAAAAAAAATAAAAAAAATATCCGATAGCGCGCGTATTAAAAATGTCAAAAAGAATGATTAAGAATAATTTTTTACCTAACAACAATTGATTTTGTTATTATAAAAGTTATAATAAGAATAGTTTATTTGCAATTTTACTACTCTAAGTACCAGATGAAACGGAAGTCATCTAAAAAAAGAGTGCTACTTTTATTGGATAGTTTATTTTGAAAATGATCTAAGTTGATTACAATTAAAAATGAAATTTTGCCCCGTTTGCAATAAAGGTGACGTATTTATTCTCCTATCCTACAAAATAAGTTTCAATTCCAATTACTGATATTGTTACAGTTTTAGATGGAAATAAAGAAGTTTTGAAATTGAAAATGAAGTTTCAAAATAAACCATCTATTTATGAAAATTGTCTTTATCGGAATTCCATGAAATAAGATTTTGAGTTATAAAGAGGATCAATTGTTAAGATTATACAAATATTATAAGAAAGCCAAACTTTGAAATGTAATAATTTTAAAAATTCTGATTAGCTGAAATGTAGGTGTATGTGTATTGTATTTTATATTTATTGTATTTCTCGCGATCTATGGACAGAATTTTAATGTTCATATTTCTTTAAATTTTAAAAAATAATTTTACGTTTCTTTAAATTTTAGAAAATTAGAATAATTTCTAATCACATACTAACAAAATTATTTTAAGTTACTAATTAATGTTTTTGAGAATTTTAAATTCTTTCAATGTTGCAAATACGTTTTCTGTTACTGTTATACGTGTAAACAAGTCTGCACATATTAAACCGTATGATGTACGTATTGTTATATGTTCTAAAACGCTGTGTTTTATGGTTTTTGAGGAAATTAAAATTAAGTACATACAACATTAAGTAAGCACTTATAAGTAAAAACATACAAAATTTCATTGAAAAATGTAGTTAAGGTTGTAAAGACGATGTAACTTGATTATATGTCAATAAATATGACCCACAATAATAAATTAATTATAATACAAAAATACACTTTGCTATTGCACGCCGTACTTATGTCTGTGCACATAATAGGATTTCTTGTAATAATGAACTTAAGTTATTTTGTAGAACGGAAATGGTCTGAAATGGGAGAATGGAAAGAAATTAAACCCAACAATTTCTTTAATTTTTTTTTTTGTTTTTTTTTTCTTTCGTTTAGTCATTTTATATTTATTTACAATTTAATTTATTATTTTTTATCTTCATACATAAATTACTTACTTTAATATTCATTTGAATTTTATAAATATGCATATTTGTTATATTATTAAAAATTTTTTACCCACTGGTTTATTTTAAAAACGTTATAACTATTTATATACATATATTGACATTTTATAGGTAGATGTGTACCTAATTAATTGACAATATTACAAAGTTGTCATATTTGACATAAAACTTTTAGTTCTTTCTAATTTTCGTATTAAAATTAATTTGAAGCTTAATGAAATTACATCGAAAATTATTTTTTAAATGAATTGTTCATGAATATTTTTTTATTTAAATCGAAGAGAACAAATTAATAAAAAAATGTTAAAGAATTTTTTATTTAGGTCATAAACAAAGGAATTACATCATTTTAAGTGTGTAACTAAGATAGACTTAATTATTCAATTTATTTGATAATTTTTCGTATATAATAATAAATAATTTTAAAGTAATAAAGTTATTAATATAATAATTAATTTTGCATAGTGCTTTTAATTTGCTCAATATAAAAAATTATTCTTACTTTTATTTTATTCTCATACTCGTATTTAAAAATAGATTTCTATTATTACATAATTTATATATTTGTTGATCTTAAATGTTATTTTAATAATTAAGTTTAATATAAACATTTCCTATAGTAAAACATATATAAAACAAAATAATATATTAAATATGTACTTAAAAATATAATAAATATTTACAAAATAAATTGAACTTAAGTTCAAATATACATTTTTTAATAATTAAATTAATATATTTTTTTTGTCAATTATTTTTATTTAATCTATTTTTAGTTTTTTTATTTTCTGTCCGAAATTTTTATGTTGTTGTTTTTGTTGTGCTAAATTTATATAATTTTCTTAAAATAAATAATATCAATAAATTTTTTGATAATTTTTTTTTTTGGTTCGATGTTTTAGAATATTATCGTTTCAGTAAAACTAACTCCCACAGGCTTAAAGTCTATACATCTCTCTCCTGTTCTCTCATTTACTCAATTTAATATTACAAAAAAAATCAATTAAAATAGAAAATTGGATTAATGATTACTCCATTCGAAATTCATTCGTAAATATTTTGAAATTCATTTTGAAATAAAGCTTGTTTTGTTTAATTGTTTTTGTCTGTTCAATGAACAGGAGCGGTTAATGCTATACTACGATTTTTTGCAGCAGCAGCCTGTCTTTTTTGAACAAATGTTTTTACTGAATTTAATGGTAATTGAAAATGATAATATGCACAATATGGTAATGGATCCCAAAATGCAAATAATGCTTCACGTTTATCTAAAACCGTGCCAATTAATTTATTAACAGCATCGACTGATGGATTTTTAAGTGTATTCATAACAGCTTCACTTATTAAATATCTACCATTATCTTGTACCATTGGTCCAGAATTTTGTCTGTTGAAATGGGGGCATGGTTTCCATAAAACACGTGAATGCACACCTGTGTAACAAATATACGGTAAAGAAACTCCAACTCTTGATCCTAATGGTAATAATTGATTTGTTGTGTCACATTTAACAAAACGAAAGCTAATGTGACCATTAATTGGTCTTTGTAAACGTAATTTTGTAAAGAATTCATTTAACCATATTTCAATTTTTTCATTTTTTTCCGGCATTAAACTTTTTGTGTCGGGATCAACTAAACATGATACATTTGCAATAACTTTTGAATCTTTAACTGTGGTGCATGTAATATAATGATTACCAGGCATATTTCTAATAACAATCCATTGATTTTCATCACTTATTTCTTGACTTATTTTCAAATCTCGCGAATTGTTTGGTAAAACATATTTATAACGCTCTAATAAGCCTTGTAAACCTGTTGCAACCATTAAATTACGAAAACCAGTTAACCATCCAGTGTTATATAACGAAAACAATTCCTCTTTATTTGATATAACTTTGTATTGTGGCACTGATATATCTAAGTCTTTACATTTCTTAATTAATTCATATGTATCGTCTAATATACAATTTTCTTGAAGTCCTGGTATAAAACTGGCACAACCCAATAATTCTAAATGTGGTTTCGCTAGTGCATCATAATATGCCGGACTTGTTGCGCAAACTGGAACATAATAAGTTGGTTTTTCTTTTTCGACTATTTCACATATTGCAGCAATATAATCCTGTGGTGAGTCTGGTGTTGGTCTTGGCACTGTATAAAATTTATTTACGGCTGTTGAGAAACGAGCCAATCCGAATAAACCTTCAAATTCAAAAACAATAACACGCGCTCCAGACGAATAAAAATTTCTTGCTAAATGTAATGTTTGTATTGTTGAACCGCAACTAATTAAGACGGTTCGTTTCCTTTGGTTACGGTTGCCTTCTTGTTCTTGTACGACCGTTCCAATTAAATAACCGAATAATGCAACTGGAAAACGAATTAATTTCCAAAAAACCCATAATAAAGCAGTAAACCAAAAGCTCGGTGCTGCAAATGATAGCGGTAAGAATACAAAACCAAAAAAGTTTCCTGTAATCCAAAATAAAATTTTTAATAATAATAATGGCCACCATAATAGTACCCTTGCTACACGCATTTTTAATGTGTTTTTATCCAAATTAGTTTTAAATCCATTTTTAATTGATTGTGTTTGTTGTTGGTTGTGTGGATGCGAATGTGATTGATTTAAATTACTTCGACGTATTGTAATTCGATTTGTATTAAATGGATTATTTCCGTTTGATTTTTCTGTACTGATAATATCAATTTCTCGATCTTCTGGTATTAATGTAAAAGTACTTGAATAGGTTCGTCTTAATGGTGACATCATTGGCGGTGGTGATGTTGATATTGGTGATGAAGGATTTGTATTTGGTGGTGAATTATTCCTTGAACGATTGGGTGGTGTGCTTATTGGAGTTGTTGGTGCGGTTTTTGAAATGAATGAACCATCTTTATTTTTAGGCCAAGCACCAAAAAAATTATAATCAAAATTACGAGAGTTCGGCATTTTTTTTTAATTTCTGTTAATTGTTTTTTATAAGCCAAAATCAGAATTACAATAGTATTCAGAATATGGCACAATTGCCAATTATTTTGTAATAAATTTTTAAAAAATTTGATTTAATTTTAATCTTGATTTTTAATTTTTTGTTTTTTATTTTATTTCAATTTGATATCTTAATGAACAAACTATTAGTTTGTTACTTCTCACTTCCGATCACTGTATAGATTTCTCTTTTTTTATTAATTATATGACATATCCCGAGCTCAACGATTCTGAGACTAAAAATTTTTTGAACTGAACAACATCTTTTAAGTTCAAAATGTTTATTGTCTTTTGATGTTGATATGTTATTATTTATAATATTCTCTCTATATTTTCAGTTTTAAGGCTGATAGGAAAATATAAATTTTTAAAATATTTATTATCACTTGTTTTTCGTCTTGTACTTTGACCTATACCTTTCAATAATAATTTAAAAATCTCTATACATGTATGTAAATGTATATAAAGTTGAAACCTAAAATTTAATTGTATAATAATTATTGAATCCATATAACAGAATTTAATAAAACACAAAACAATTATTATAAAAAAAAATTAAAACCGACTACCGTCATAAGGATTTTAATTTCTTCTAGTTTCTTGAAATTATTCTACATTAATTGATCAAGTGATGCATTATTTAAATTTAATTTAATAAATTTAATTCTTCTTTTTTAGTCGATCTGTTATAAAATAATTATAATATTTCTTCAATAATTTTCCTAAACCCATTTCAAAATTTGACATTTTGTATAAGCACACAATTTAAGACAAATACTATAGGAATTATATTAAAAAATGAAATATTTAATAAGATAAGAACTGAAATAAATTAGAAATTTTCGAAATTTTTATAGTTCCAATTGTGAAACAATATTGTTCTTTGGCTTCGTAAATTTAATAATCATAATCAATTTTTGTTTTTATTGTTATTTTTATTATAGATTAATTTAATAAATTTCTGTAGATGTATATTGTAATCGGATTATCATTTTAAACTTGGTTAACACTAGCATTTTTAATTTGTTACAAAACTCTACGGATTCAAAACTATTCTGTTGATTACAGTAGAGTACAGTAAAACACAATTAAGTGGTATACTTAATTAGTGCCTCAAAATTTACTTACGACTATTATAGTGACACGAAAACTTTTTAATCGAGTTTAATTATAACTATTTTTATCGAGTTTAATAATTCATTTCAGTGATTTTGGCCCTACACGATTTTTTGAATATATTTCCATTTTTTTCACTTACTCATTGATTTGTATAAAAATTTATTCGGCCCTAGAGACATTTAGACACGCATCTCTGTTTCTATCGACTCATAAATGTTGCTACTTAAAATATAAAATGAAAAGCAATAATACATAATCACATAAAATATTTTTGTTTGTAAATGTTAAAAGAATTTCAGAATTTTAGTGACACTTAACTAATCTGTATTAAATTGTGATATTTGTCAAAGAAATCAAATAACTGAGCTCAAATAATATTATGTATATTTATGCAAGTGATTAGTTTTTAATTAATTTGAATTAAAATTTTTGAGTTACTAATCATATATAGTAGTGTTTTTATTTAAAAATTTCCATTAATTACAGCTTCGAATTACGCTTTCCCAACACTTCGTTTAAAATAAGAAAGCGTATGATTTTAGAAGGAATTAAAGTGTATAATGTATCGCAACTTCACAATGTAAATATCCCCAGTAACATTGTTTTATTTAGAAAGAAACTAAATTTTATTTATAATTTTAAAATTAATTCGATTTTAAATCTTTTAAAGATAAAGTTTTAAATAAATTTTTATTTTGTTATTTGAGTAATAAATTTATAATTCTTTTTTTTGATTTGTTATTTTGTTTTTTTTACAAGTAAATTTATGTTTATATACATTTCATATAAATAATAAATTAATAATAGCGAAAAAATGTATAAGTACAATATAAAATGAATTTTTGCATAAGTACCCATATAATAATGTACCTTTACAACCTTTCTGGTCATATTAATTTTGATAAGATTATAATGAAAATTTAAAATGAAAGTTTTAAGAGAAATTCACTTGATTATAGCCAATGTAAATTAATTGTTTATTTTTCGTTTTTTGTGCAATTTTGTTCTATTGCATATTTATTTTATAAAATGATTTTTAAATAAAAAAATCGAAGCCAACTGTTATGCTTTCAATACATGTACACAGTAATTTTCTCTTTTATATATTATATTATGTATTTATTCAATAAAGCTTAAAAATAACCTATAAAAGAATGTAATAAATATACTTAATAAAAATATTTACTTCGACATAAACGCCACTTATTTTACACTTCATATACTCGTACAATATGTGAATAGATAAGGCGTTAACACTGATAGTAAAAATAACACTACCAAAGTATATACTTATAAAAGTGTAAAATTTATTTCAGCACTTGAACACGTCTACGTATGATAACATATCGACAATACATCAGTTACTTTCGATTAACAATCGGTTTTCGATTATAAAATTTAAAATGACAATATTAATAAGTGACATTAAAATATAACAAAAGTTATTTTATCACAAACAAAACATTTTTATTGATTTTAAGATTTTTATCGAGTAATCTATGCGTAGGTGTGAATTTTTGTTACAGTATATCTTCTTTTATTGCATTTACTATAAATCATTATGTCTAATTCACGTTTAATAGGCAGATTCGGCAGATACGGCGGTTACCGGGATTCTTTTGCAAATAAAAAGGATGTGATTCACCAAATCAATGACAATCACTGTATAGGTATAGACATTTAGATTTCCACTCAAATGTGATATCTTATCAAAGTAAATTTGATTTTTTTTAAATTAATATAAAATGTATACGGTACATAAAATAATATAAATAAATCTACCTATGCCTGATATAATAAACTTAATTGTGAAAGCTGCGCTATATTTATGTTCCTAAAAAGATGTTGCTAATTTAGTTTGTTCATAAACATGACTAGACTATATCAATGAAATTGTTATGAGTGCAGCTGTTTAATCATATATAAACTATTTTTGTTTTGCAGAGTAGTGTAAAATATATTTTGTATTTTTCATGTTACGTTTTAACAGTTTTGATTCTGCAGTATTGCGTATATGTGATAATCTCTAATAACATAAGATCGGAAATTTATTGTTCTTTTGCATATTATTAGGATAACTTTATATTTAAATAAAACGAAGTAACAGAAAATGAAAGGCTAAGCTTTATCAGATTATTAAATATTAAGTTTGGAATTAATATAATCATTTTATATTTAATTCCAAAAAAAATGAAACAAATTATTTGAATTATAGTATGGTCTGGTCAGTTTTATTATGAAAAACAAATACGCAGAACAAATTAAATCAATTAATTTTATATTCTAATTTCAAACATAATTTTTTAATAATATAAAAAAAAAATTATGATGAACCACTTTAAAATTATAGATTTAAACAATAACAGATAATTATGTCAACATTATATTAAATAATTATGTATAGTCTTATAAATTATTCAATCTTATCTTTTAGAAAACAAAAACTTTTTTTTGTTCATTTTTAATAATTATATTTCGCGACTTTACAAAGTTTTTATTAAAAAAAAATATACCGTATAAAGTCAATCACTTCTCCAATTTTAAAATATGAAAAAATCTATGACAAATCGATAATTATTTTTAATTGATCATTTTATTAATTTTATTTATTTATTTTCAATATATTATCATTTAATTTCATTTTCTATATTAGATTTTGCGTAAAGACCAACCACGATTAAATTATTTTATTTAATTTACGTAAATTCATTTTTGTGCTTATAAAATATGTATGAATTAGGATTAGAGTATACAACAAAATCAGAAGAAAAACTAAATATGAGAAATATAATTTAAATTTCTATAATCATTTTAGAATGCAGCAATACACACTTATTTATGATGGATTTAAAATGTGCATAGATTATGGGTCAGTCACAAATATAAACAATCATTTAAAGTTTAATAAACTACAATTGTTACAAAATAATAATAAAAAGAATTGAAACAAGATTTACGACGCATTTTATAAAAATCAAAGTTGAAATTTTTCCAATCTCATAAAAATCAGTTTATCTATTGAAATGCTGGAAGTTTGAATGATTGAAACTATGAATTTCAAAATTAACTTCACAGCTGTAACAACGTGCTCAATTAAAGATTTCAAACGTAGTTCACTAAAAGCTTTGAGATTTAGCATTAAAAGAGTTAATTAAACAAAATTCAACAAAATAGTTATACTTTTTAATTAAGTAAAGCATAAAGTAATCCCGAGAACGAAATCAAATATTTAGATGAGCAGCAGAAAATTCATAGATGTAATTATTGGCATATTTCCGACAATATTAGGAAAAAATGTACTTGATAATTTCACTTTATTTGTCTGCCTGTACGTTGAAAGCGGAAATTTTTTGCAAATAATGGATTTGCCCACAAAAAACCCTCTCTTCTCTGAAGGTTCTGTCTATGTTAAATATATTTTTTTGTGTCGTAATCATAAACTCTTTTGAATTACGCAAATGAAGAAAAATAGCAATTGTTTCTTTTATTTTAAAACAACATTAGTAAATTGTAAAATTGCAAAGCATTGTTGAAATGAATTCGTTTTTTTCTTTAAAAAAATTAACATCGTTTTTAACAAAATAGAAACATTACTGACTTGTAGATATCAATGAATAATTTATTTTGTTAAAAGAAAACTTTTCCTTTTAAGTTATCGTATATCTAAATTCGCAATATTTCAAATTTTCGACATTTTATTTTGCCGAAACTGAAAGTTTTTTTAAATTTTTATTAAAATTAACGACAAATGTCTTCGTTGCATTAACTTTTATGTTAAATTTTGTTCTCATCCTGAAAGTATGCAACAAATTATGATATATTCCAGAATATTAGCGAAAATACTACATACTAATTTAAGTAAAAGATTGTTTTTCAAAAAAAGTATTTTCACTTGTTCAAGGGAAATGTGCTACTTAGCAAATCATTTGTTTCATCCGAAATTATTTTGGTTAATAATATTACAAAAGTGAATAATCACTTTTAAATTTCATATACAATAAAAGACAATACACAGGCTAAGCTAATAAAATTTTGTACGCAATTAAAAAATTAATTTTAATAAAAATTTTTAGCGCCATTTTAATAAATATAATACATAC